CGCTTCTTAGGCGTGGGAGAAGTCCCTACTATTGTTATTACATCGCTTCTCTGCGATTTGTTATCCGATCCTCTTCTCTTCGTTTCCGTAACGAAAAACCCAAAGAGAAATCGAAGAGCGATAGCTTTTGTATTGACCATGGTAGGTGCAATTGTTGGAGGGTGGGTTAGCAAGGTTACAAAGAGTGTTAGTCCTATGCTCTGGGTAGCTGGTGGTTGTAAAACTGTGTTAACTCTAGTCTGGGGTTTGTGGAAAGAAAAGGTATAGAGGACGGAAACTTGATCTTTGATCAGGGGTGGAAACTTGAATTACAATAATATAGAAGGGTGTGCGAGGACTGCGTAATTAGAGAAGAACAGATGATTTAGAAGTGTAGATGAATATAAATTGTGCAGTATCCCATAACAAAAACGCGACGGCAAGTAGTCGTTCTATCAAGGTTCTCTTACCGTCCAATTATACTTCCATGTGTCCGGCTAGCAGCAGTTATCCGTCGCTAGCCCATAGATTAACTTTTATCAACTCCAGATTCTTCTATCATTATAATCCTTGTGATCTGATAAGGGATAAGGATAGATTCTGTAACTAGGCTAACTGCAAAGAGCCTAGCGGTCATGATCGGTGCTAATCTTTCCGATGCTAAGTAAAAAAAATATTTCGAATCTGATGAAGATTTCAATGTCGTCGACGGATTAAAGTAGCTTTTCAACTACTTCAATCAATTAAATATGGAAGAACAAAAGAATAGGCCTCACAGGGCCCCTAAGGAGAAGAAGAAGCAGACTGGAGGTTAGTGATCCTTCTTTCAATTGATTAACTATGTATGCTAATATGCTTAATAGAGCGCAATCCCAAAGCATTCAGTTTCGCAAACCCAGGAAGATTGGCAAAAAGTGCTGCAAGATCGCATGATGTATGTTCAATCATCTGGAACTTGGTGCGCTAGGTTACTAACTTTTGCAGATCAAAGAAAGACGTCTTCATGTTCCTCAAATTGATCGATTGCCAGAAGAACCACCGCCACGACTTGTTACAATTGTTGGACCACCAGGTGTTGGAAAGACGACTCTCCTCAAATCTTTAGTCAAACGATATGCGAAAGAAACATTATCAGATCCTCAAGGACCCATTACAGTTGTCACTTCGAAGCGTCAAAGACTTACATTTGTAGAATGTCCGAACGAACTCGAAGCTATGGTGGATATATCCAAGGTGGCAGATATTGTATTGTTAATGATTGACGGAAATTTTGGTTTCGAGATGGAAACCATGGAATTCTTGAACATTTTATCTTCGAGTGGTATGCCGGGTAATGTTTTCGGAATTCTCACGCATCTAGATCTTTTCAAGAAACCACAAACTTTGAAGGATGCAAAGAAACGACTCAAGAATCGATTTTGGAGCGAATTATACCAGGGTGCACATCTATTCTACCTTTCTGGAGTTATCAATGGGCGTTATCCGGATCGAGAAATTCATAACTTGTCGAGATTTATTTCTGTTATGAAAAACCCAAGACCTTTGATTTGGCGCAATACACATCCTTACACCATTATCGATAGTTTCAGAGATATCACCCATCCTACCAAAATTGAGGAAGACGAGAAGTGCGATCGAACGGTTGTTTTGTCAGGTTATTTACGAGGAACAAATTTTGCAGCGCAAGGTCAAAGGGTTCATATACCAGGCTTGGGTGATTATTCAGTATCTGCCATGGAATCCTTGCCAGACCCTTGCCCCACACCATTCATGGATGCGGCGATTGCCAAAGCATCTGGAAAGACTGGTAGAAGACGTTTGGATGAGAAGGAAAAGAAACTCCATGCGCCAATGTCTGATAAGAGTGGATTGAAAATTGATGGAGACACTATTTGGATCACTCGTGAGAAGGGTTTTAATTTCGACGCAGATGCTGAAGATGACGAACGTGGGGAGGGAGAAGAACTGATTGTTGGTTTACAAGGAGAAAGAAAGCTTCTTGGTGAGACAGAGGAGGGTGTCAGATTATTCAGCAATGGTGAAACTATCAAATCGGTTCCCGAGGAAGAAGATTTTGGACGAAAACATCAAAGACGCGCAAGATTTGTCGAAGGAGGAGATCAAGCTCCGGACAATGAGGACTTTGATGGAGTTGCCAGCGACGAAGAATTCGATTCTGGTGATGAAGCAGAAATTACCGAAGACAAATTAGGAAAAGCATTCAAGAAAGACAAAGATGAGGCAGGTGGCGATATTGAATTCGCTGACAGTGATTCTGATCTTGGTTCAATTTCTGGTGATGAATTGGATGAAGAAGGTTCGGATTCTGATGACGAAGATGGAGCAGCTCGCTGGAAACAAAATATGTTGGAAACTGCACGCAAACTTCACGGACAACGAAAATCTTACCGAACTGCAGATTTGGCAAAACTCATGTACGATGAGTCGCTTACTCCTACAGAAGTGCTCAAAAGATGGAGAGGGGAGATTGAAGAGGAAGAAGAAGACATTGAGCAGGAAGAAGATGAAGACGAATTTTTCAAGAAGACTGGTAGAGAGGATGAAGATGCAATCATGGATGATCGAGCAATTCCATTGCTTGATTATGAGAAATTAGAATCAAAGTGGTCTGTGGAGGATAATATTGAGGAACTCCGACAACGTTTTGCGACAGCAGATTTATTGAAGGGTAAGGGTAATGGCAGTGGTAGTGACAATGATGAGGGTGATGATGAGGAAGACGAAGATGATGAGGGTGATGGAGAGTTCAAGGATTTGGAAACTGGCGAAGAACACAAAGCAGATGAGCCAGTAGACATTGACGCCGAGAGAGAGAAAAATGCTAGAAGAAAAGAAGAACTTAAACTACGATTCGAAGAAGAAGACAGAGATGGATTCAACAACGATAAAGCGAATGCTAGACGAGAAGCTGGTGGAGACGATGAATTTGGAGAGGATGAATGGTATGATGCACAGAAAGCACAAATTCAAAAACAACTCGACATCAACAAATCCGAATTTGAGAATCTTGACGAAAGTCAAAGAATTCAAGTTGAGGGTTACCGCGCCGGAATGTACGGCAAAATTGTTATTGAAGGAGTACCATCTGAATTTGTTACTCGTTTTAACCCAAGAATGCCAATCATTGTCGGAGGCTTGACCCCAACCGAGGATCGATTTGGTTTTGTACAAGTCAAGATCAAGAGACACAGATGGCACAAGAAGATCCTCAAAACAAATGATCCTCTTATCATTTCTCTGGGATGGAGAAGATTCCAAACCCTCCCAATTTACAGTACTTCGGACAATCGAACAAGAAATCGTATGCTTAAGTATACTCCAGAACATATGCATTGTTTTGGTACATTTTACGGTCCATTCATTGCACCCAATACTGGATTTTCATGTTACCAATCATTTTCTAGCAAGAACCCTGGTTTCCGAATCGCTGCTACTGGAACTGTTATGACTGTCGATGAATCTTCAGAAACAGTCAAGAAACTCAAGCTTACTGGTACTCCTTACAAGATCTACAAAAATACAGCTTTCATCAAGGATATGTTCAACACATCATTAGAAATCGCCAAGTTCGAAGGAGCCTCGATCAAGACAGTTTCTGGTATCAGAGGTCAGATCAAACGTGCATTGGCCAAGCCAGAAGGTTACTTCCGTGCCACCTTTGAAGATAAAATCCTCATGAGTGACATTGTTTTCTTACGGGCTTGGTATCCGATTAAGCCTCACAGATTTTACAATCCAGTCACCAACCTTATTGGATGGGAAGGTATGCGATTAACCGGTGAAGTCCGAAGAGATCAAAATCTACCTACACCAGACCAAAAGAATAGTCACTACAAACCTGTCGAAAGAGTAACTCGTCATTTCAATCCTTTACGAGTTCCTCGTGCATTGGCTGCAGAACTTCCATATAAGAGTCAAATTGTTCAAATGAAGAAACAGAGTAAACCAACATATATGCAAAAGAGAGCAGTGGTAGTAGGAGGAGAAGAAAAGAAAGCTAGAGATTTGATGCAGAAATTAATGACGCTTAGAAATGACAAGGTGGCAAAGAGAAAGGTTGCAAATGAGAAGAGGAGAGAAGTGTATAGGAAGAAGGTAGCGGAAAATGAGGAGAAAAGGGGGGAGAGGGAGAAGAAGGAAAAACAGGAGTACTGGAGGAAGGAGGGAAAAAAGAGGAGAGCAGATACAGATGGTGGTGGTGGTGGAAAGAGAAGAAAATAATGGGTGGCTGAGGATTAAAATTGCATTTCTTGAAGTTTCTTGGTTGAGGGCTTGTGGTCTTGGTAACAAAAATGTAAATGTACGGAGTCCGAAATACGAGTAGAATTCTTCCGACACGAAAAATTAAACAGTTCAGGGATCTATCTGATCACGAATATTGAGTTCTCGATTGTGCATGAAAAGTCATATGTTGTGGAGATATGAGACGATAATCTCGCATTAATTCAGCTATTCCATGCATCACACCTCGAGCATCCTTATACCACGTTACTGCCTGCTCTAGTACGTGCGCTGATAGTGCATGTCGTCCCCATAAAAGTGTTTTCTTTCAGTATGTCCAGACGAGGTGGTCTTGAAGAATATTGTTCCCCTGTCTTTCTCCGATAGCTGATTAGATACTGTACGACATCTGGTCGAACACCAAGATGATATCCGCAAATTTCATGTGAATAGAGCACGGCTCGGGTAAACGGAGGTCCAACCGAGTGACATAATTACCCCTGTGTCCCATTTTTGCGGGCCGGTCTATTACCGAGGCAAAATGCGGGAAGCGTGGGGGTGTTGAATCCTTAGCTTAATGAGTAGGGATTCGGTGAGCTATGGCTTATCAATCTATCTTTCTTCATGCTTGGGTGCGGATAACCTTATTATTTACTTTGCATAGGTAGTTGAATCTTCAATTGAGTGTAGATTGATAATATCTTGGACAATCTGTTTCATCGATTGCACTGCCGGACGACAAGCCTAGAGATAACGGTCATCAGGGAATAAACTCCATCATGCCAAGAGCCATTACAATGCAGAAGATCGAGGGTGGGAAACCGGGGAAGGTTTACTATCCGTGTGTTTTCCCTTCCATTTTCTTTCTCAAATCACCCCATCTTTCAATTGCTGCCTAAAATCCATTCAATCCACTTCTAACAAGCCCCAGTCTCGAAGTAACCCAACATACCACCCCTTCCCTATCCCCTACCTCCCTCCTAGTCCAAATCCATACCGTGGCTCTGAACCATCGAGATCTATTCCTCCGTCAGCATCTGTACCCCTCCCCCTCCTTCACCACCCCCCTCTGCGCCGATGCCTGCGGCTATGTTTCTCAGATCGGTTCCGCCGCCTCAAAATCCTGGCTCGGGAAACGTGTGATTCTCACTCCCGGCCGCGGCTGGCATTCCGATCCCTTCGGCCCTGAAGATGCCGGCGGGTATAAAATTCTAGGGGGCACGAGTACTATTCCGATTGGGACGCTTATTGAAGAGGTGGTCATTGAGCAGGAGGAGGTGGAAGAAGCGCCTGCGCATTTGAGCGATGAGGAGGCGGCGGCGCTGCCGCTTTGTGGATTGACGGGGTGGAGGGCCTTGGTTGTGAAGGGGGGAGAGGGGAATGTGGGGACGGGGAAGAATATTTTGATTACGGGAATTGGAGGAGGGGTCGCGTTGAGTGTGTTGCAGTTTGCGGTGGGGTTGGGGAGTAATGTTTTTGTTAGTAGTGGGGATCAAGGAAAGATTGAGAAGGCGAAGGCATTGGGTGCGAAAGGGGGAGTGAGTTACAAGAGTGAGGGGTGGGAGAAGGAGTTGAAGGGATTGTTGAAGGGGTATGGGAAGGGATCATTAGATTTGATTGTTGATGGGGCCGGAGGAGATATTGTTAGGAAGGCGACGAAATTGTTGAAGGTATTTTCTTCTCGTTTTTACTGCTTTGCCCCCATGAAATCAACCCACAAAGCTCTATCTTTCCAGAAGCCAGAAAACTAACTTCATCTCGCAGCTCGGCGGCACAATAGTCCAATACGGCATGACTATCTCCCCCAAAATGGACTGGTCCATGCCTGCCAACTTGATGAATCTCGAGCTCAAAGGCTCAACAATGGGATCCCGAAAGGAATTCAAAGAAATGGTTCAATTCGTTAACGAGCATAAAATCAAACCAGTAGTATCAAAAGTTGTTAAGGGGCTCGATAATTTAGGGGAGATTGAAGAATTATTTGAGGATATGAAGGGGGGAAAACAATTTGGGAAACTAATTATTGAAGTAAAGGGATCAGATGGAGGAGAGGGAAAGGGAAAGGAGAGTAAGTTGTGATCTTACTATCATATGTATATAAATGAAAGCGCGGAGAGAGTTAATATTGTATGTAGGTAGATAGGTAGTTGTGTAATATACTGGGAGGGTATTTACTATTTAGGGAGTTGTTGAAGAATCTTGGAAGTCTGAGAAGGGATTGTGGAAGTGCTTCCTTGCTTTAATGTTTTCAGCTTGTTTTTTTGTCGAATTATAAGTGAGTCCCTATGAAATTTATATCACAATTAATTTCACTATTTGACAATTCCATTTTTCTACCGAGAATATGATGCGATATACCTCCACAGAGCCAAAGTTTGATCTGCGGGGCTTGTTAAGCAGATAATTTATCGTTACCGGCCGGCGGTCACTTGTGTTTCAAATTGACTCTTTTTGGCCGCGTTTCAGTAGCATGATATTGTAATTAAGTTTCAACATACATAAATATACATGACATGAAGAAATCCTGATTCAAACATCAAGGAAAACTTGTTGGTATCGATCCAATAACCATTGAAAGAATGTATGTAATTTGGTTTCGTCTCCCCTAAGAGTTAAGATAGCTCGCTTTGATGACGAGTAGGATGGAAAAAATGATCGTCGGAAGATAGGATGATATGGGAGGTGAATTTGTAGGATTTTTGTTGCGGTGATTGCTGGTGAGCTTTCGGTTAATAATGGATAGGATTTTGGGTAAGGGGGAGCGAACGTGTTGCTATGTGGGTGAGTTTCCAGATTGGTGGTGAGGAATGGGGAGTTTAAGTAGTGTGGATTCTGTATTTCACGGATGGCGTGGACAACTTATAGCGATGGCTCGATCGACTTGTGTACGAATTGTAGCAGATTGATTGGACTGAAGGCATTGACGGATCCAACACTTGTATATTCACTCCTCCGCAAATTTGAGAAGTCTGGAAATTCTTGCTTCAAAATATCATTGGGTATTATTATCTATATCATGAATCATATCTAAACGCCATCCCATATATACATCATCAACTTTTTCTCCCTCATCTCATTCACGGACTCTCCACCAAATTTACAACCATATTCCTCGTCTCATCTCTGCTCTGTTTCAAAAACGGAATCAACTGCGTTCCTCCCGTTCCTCTAACATCTTTTCCTCCCTTCTTCGTCGTCGCAACCGCTAGATTTAATCCCGCGTTTTCTTTTTCCGTGCCTTGGGCCATCGCTTTCCGAGATGGATTAATAATGTATCGTGTTACGATTTGGATGTGGATGTTGCGGAATTCGGTGAGTGTTTCCACAGCGTGGTTGTAGGCTTTTGTGACGGAGGAGGAACAGATTGATGAGTCGACATAGTTGTGGATGGGAGAGATTTCGGAGATTTGGTTGAGGAAGGCGCGGTGCGAGCCGGGCATGTAGTTGCGCATTTCCTGGTTGGGTGTTAGTGGGAAGATTCGTGGTATAGGGTGAAGATAAAGAAGGAGGGGTGAACATACTTCTAAGAATCCATGACAACCTTTCTTTGGCTCCACGGTTCCACTCTGTGGCTTGCCCATGGGTCTAGTAGGTACGTGTTTGACACCCAACACCGCATCCCAGAATTGTATCAAACTACTCTGTGCGTTACTTCCTCCACTGTACATTCTCCATTCCCCACTTCCATTGCCCTCATCATAGAACACACCCCTTGGCAGACCAGCTGCCGACATGTTTTTGCTACCTGCTAGAAATGGTCGGATGATATGATAGAAGACCTCGGGATCACATTTTTCATACATGCGTTCAAGAATTGTACCACAATCTTGTATACAAGTTGAGAATTTTTCGAGGCAGGATGTTAAGACTTCCGGTTCATCGGAGCGAACGGCATTCATAGCTTCTATCATTAAGGGGATGACTTCTGCTCCGCGGGCTTCGATGGCGATGGAGACAAGGTAGAACCAGGATTCATCGGGGGTATTAGTGAAGGTGTGTTGACAGGAGAGTTTGTCTAGATCGGTGAGATCTTGTGTTGAGGAACTACTGGTGAAATTCCAGAGATTAAGAGCGGCGTATGTGGCGGTTGGGGGGAGACCGAGGTGGGATGAAACGACTAGGAAGGGTTTCGATATTTGAGGGGGTAGTAACTGTTGTTGTTAGTAAAAGGATACGTCGATTGTGATGTCAGGGTTCGTTTACCTCTGATGGAACTTTTCCTCCCCAGATATATGAATGTGTCATGAAAGACAACAGATGGTAAGCTCTTCGCCATTCATCTTCCTCTTGTAAACTCGATGTGTCGAGTATAGGTAAAGCATCGGCATGTTGTCTGAATAATCCTTCCTTGAGTAAAAAGGGCATCTCATCTACTAAATCTTCCCATTCGACATAGGCACCCAATCGTGGAAGAGGGTTGACATCTGGAAGGAACCCATTCTCTGTCGAAACTCCAAATTCGGAGAGATTGATATTCAATGGACCAAGCATTCTGAAAGGAATTGAAGATTTTGTTGAGGACTATGCAGGAGAAGCAGGATGCAACGAAAAGACAAAAAAAGGTAACTCAAGTACGGCTTTTGTTATGCTGTAACTTTTTACTTTTGCTTATACACGAAACTTGGGATAATGATAGAAACAACTAGTGAGAATTCAATAGACTCTTAATTCAAAACAGAAGGATACTGGTATTACTTTTCTACTTTCGTCTCATACTTCTGTTACCCCGTATAATATACGGCCAGGAGAGTTTCGGGCATTTCCACAATACCGGTATCCATTGACAGATAATAGTGATACCATGCGCGTGATTTGTTATCGCGTAAGAATAGGAGGAGGAAGCTAAATATGTGGAGACGGAACACGGAAGCGGATGCGGATGCAGAGGAAACTTTACTTATTCCGACGGAACACGGATATCGATGACAGCACGATGAAACCGAACGAAGAACAGGATCGCCTACAAAGTGATCAGACTTGACGTTGTCGTTGGTCTTTTGAATCAGATCAGTTTCATCCATATTTTTCTGTTTTTAAGAAGCAATTGCATCGCAACATAATATAATATCAACCAGATTTGTAGTTGTACATTCTTATCACGACTATCAACACTCCCACCAGACTTCGCCATCTTAGCAAAATGGGTTCCATAGCAAAGGAAGTACAGCCATCGACAAAGGTTGAGAAGCCAACCTTCTCATCCAAAGCAAATACACTTGAATTTGCGCAATCACTTGATGCTAAAGATCATATGCGAAGATTTCGCGATCAATTCATTATTCCATCAAAAGCCAACATTAAAACAAAGAAGCTTGCAAAACCAGGTTCGTTTACACTGTGCCGCCGTCTACTCGCATACCCCGCCATCATATCACATGACTCAATATGAATATCAGCTCACAATCAATTAGGTCTTTCCGATGAATCATCCATATATTTCTGTGGAAATAGTTTAGGTCTCCAACCTAAATGTGTTCAAGAGTATCTTCAAGCTCATCTTGATACCTGGTCTTCCATTGCTGTCCACGGTCATTTCCGTGATTTGGAAGATTCTCCTCTAACACAATGGCAATTACTCGCTGAACATACTTCTAAGCAATGTGCACCCATTGTAGGAGCCAAGGCTTCCGAAGTTGCGATCATGGGTACTTTGACTACGAATTTGCATTTATTGATGGCTTCTTTTTACACACCCACTCCGGAAAAGAGTAAGATTATTATGGAATGGAAAGCATTCCCCAGTGATCACTATGCTATCGAGTCACAAATTAGAGGACATGGATATAATCCCGAAGAAGCTATGGTAATGATTGCACCAGATGAGGGAAGCTATGAGATTTCTACTGAGAAAATCCTCCGTACAATTGACGAGCATGCATCTACTACCGCTCTTCTTCTCTTACCCGGTATTCAATACTACACCGGACAACTTTTCGATATCAAGACTATTACAGCATATGCACAATCGAAGGGATTGATGGTAGGATGGGATCTAGCACATGCAGCTGGAAACGTCCCACTACAACTTCATGATTGGAATGTCGATTTTGCGGTTTGGTGTACGTATAAGTACATGAATGCCGGACCTGGAAGTATCGCAGGTGCATATGTGCATGAGAGACATGGAGAGGTGGATTATAGTGAAGGAGAAGAGAACCCAAAGTACAGACATAGATTAATGGGATGGTATGGAGGAGATCAAAGTTGTCGATTCTTGATGAACAACAGTAAGTTCTTTCTACCTCATCTACTGCCTTCGGACAAATACTAATAAATTCTTCAGAATTCCGTCCCTCTCCCGGTGCCTCCGGCTACCAAGTCAGCAATCCGTCAGTCGTTGATCTCACCTCTCTCTGCGCCGCCCTTTCAATCTTCAACCAGACATCCATGGCTGAGATCTCTCAAAAAACTCTCCACCTAACCGCCTACCTCGAACATCTCCTCTTATCAACCAATACCTCAGATTCCCCCGCTTTCCGCATCATCACTCCTTCCGACCCTTCAGCAAGAGGAACACAACTTAGCGTTCTGTTAAAACCTGGACGTTTGGAAACTCTCTCAGACATGCTCGAAGACGCAGGTATTGTTGCCGATAAGAGAAAACCAGATGTCATTCGTGTGGCGCCTGTACCACTCTACAATACATATGAGGATGTATGGAACTTTGTACAGATTTTTAACAAGGCTTTGGAGAAATGTGAAAAGGCTTAATTGGGGGGTTTAATGGGAGCTCAAAAGGGTGTGATATGTGTATAATTGCATAGGGCCTTGGTGGTTTTTCGTCGTACATAGTTTAACGTATATATCCAAATGATTTAACGATTTTCAGAATAAAACTTATATTACAATTGAAAGAGTGTATTGGTGTGAGGATGGTAGAAGGAATCTACAAGCCAATCTTTGTTGTTTTGAGAAAAAGAGTTTAAGTCCCTGATGAAATATCTGCCGTCTAGTTGCTCGTGTGGATTGTTGTATCCGTCTAGATTGATTGTTGTTCCATGATGAGACATTGCAGAATTTAATCATTCACCGTGTCCGAAGAAAATTTAAAACGGGATTTTATTCACGATTTGTGGAATTGGTTTAGTTCTTGGTGGTAGATGAGCATGGTAGTTTCTAACTTATTCAAAAGTTTATACATCGAGGGGAATCTATAGAGCAACAAAAGAGCGGCGTACCCACCCCAACACCTATGCCGGAAACGCCTTCAATTCTAACCTCCCGCTTCTCCAAAGTACCCAATCAATTAAACCTACACACCCATCTCTAAGCCCTCCACAATTTGCAATTCTACCTCTCCATATCCCGACTCGATATCTCCTCCCCACCTTTCAATCGCTCTAGTCATGGGACAAGCTACCAACAACATCCTTTCATAAATCTCCTGTTCCATTTCTCCTCCTCCCACAATCCCAATCGTCCAACCCTCGCTCCAAGATCTATATTCATAAATCTCTCCAAATTCGACATTTGTGGAATCGTCAGATTGATCTTCCCACGACCGTTGTTCATTCAAAACTTTCCCACCTAATATTTCCCATGTTTTACCTGCATCAACACTGACTGGTAGGTGAAATAATATCGGCAACAATCCTCCTATATACCCATCCTTCATCCCGCCATATAAGCATTGGATAACCATACTAATCATGACGGCTCGTCGTATACTTTCCAGAAGTACCCATCTTTCTGCGTAATCTTGTAGCTTACTATCCTTACTGTGGGCATCGTCTGTGGGAAGCCGTGTATCCATGCCTTGTGCTAATAATCCTACATATTCAATTTGTAGTTGATTTGTCCATTGCATTAGCAACGGTATGTGTCTTTCGGCGTTTTTCTTTTGTCTATCATTTGAAGACCAGAGACGGATTGTTTGATATAGAATTAAGACTTGAACTGCAATAAGCCATTCGGATGAGCCCCAATAGTCTTTTGCACTCGAGCAAATAAGATCAGAAATTTTAGAGTCGAGAATCGAGAAGGCGTGAGGAGAGCCGAGGGTATGAAGTGCACAGATAGAAAGTGCATCGGTATATGGAGTGGGCAGGGGTCTACCAAGATCATGGGATGAGAGAGGATGAATGAAAGAGTTGTGGGAGTGGAGTGCGAAGGATGAGACGAATGATTTCAGCTGGGTTGAGATGTAGCTGATTTGAGCGGGGCTAAGGGTGTTGCGAGGAGGAAGTTGAATTGATGAGTAAGGTGATGGCAATGGATTGATAGAGAGAGACAGGGTCTGAGGATCAAGTGATGCAAGTGAACTGGTGGTTTGAAATGATATGTCAGGTGGAAAAGAAAGGGCGTTGTTGTTGGTGGAATACCACGACGTGAGATCCCGGTTAGATTGCTGATCTTGGTAGTCCAAGAGCGGTATGTTGTCGTAGGGCAACGAATCAAGACATGCCTCATACGAATCAGTGAAGATTTGTGCTGTCGTAATGCTCTCCAAAGGAATCGTGGTTGATTTAGCACGTTGTGAAGACCTTGTTGATTTCTTCCGCGACAACTCATTCACCTATATCCACAATTTCAGCATTCTATGCATCACGGTGTTGCTATGATACTAGAGACCGAACGAATCACTTACATAAACACAACTCAGATTCTTCATATCACATCTGGAACAAGCTGGCAACAACAAATCGCACCTCCGTTTTGCTTTGACACAAGCCGTACACGCCTTCTTCCGAGTCTTGCTCTGGTGGACTGAAACCGCAGTCATATCGATTATACTTTGATGGAACTAAGCCTAGAACTTTCTATCGTGAGTGCAATACAATTATCCAGTATTGAAGCGGAATTCCACTCCGATTTGCTGTTATATAGTTTGAGCCGAAATGGATTTAGACGTTGTAGTCGCCCACGGACATAAGCTTCCAGCGGAGTTCCACGGCTCGTAAGCACAAAGTGGGTATCTGGCTGCTTACCTCATTATTTCCATGGCGATGAACTGACTACATTGTATTTTTTGGTGCATCATTATGCATCTTCTTGAGATTTCGTCTTGTGAATGGGGCCGAGGAGATTTTTTGGCTCTGTTTTGTATACGGTGTGGTCCCGATATTGGCCCAGTACAACTAAAGTAGACAAAATGACACAGATATCGAGGTGTATAAGTACCACTTGGCCGACTTGATATCAGCTTCATATATCCTTTCTTCAATTGCTTTATAAACAACAACTCGTGCATTCCATACCATCAAAATCTATCTTCCAAGATGCCTTTCACTGAATTTATAAGACCTCCAATTGTTCAAACAGATGGCTCACGTGATGCTTTCACCAACACTGTTGTTCCAGCAATCAGAACTCTCATAAAATCAGCTCCTGGTTTCATACTTGGCACTGCCGGACACAGCTTGTTCGAAGATAATGCCGCTGTACCAGAGTCTTCATTCATTCCAATTGTGGGCATAGGTCAGTGCTCCGATGACAGACTCCATAGGAATTGATAGGCTAATATAGTACAGAATGGGAGAACCCGGATTCATTTCATGGGCTTGTCCAGGGCGAACAGTTTCCAGTCTTCATTGGAAAGATAAAGCCATATCTTACTGCTCCAACAAGCCCAGAATTATACGAGACTAATATCTCACCAAAAGATATCTTCGCGTCCCCAATAATCGAAGTCTTTAGAATCAACATTCATGAAGACTCTGAGAAAGAAGCGGCAGCCAAAAACACTTGGGAAGCATTCGCAAAAGCATTGAAGACTCCAAAAATTCTGTGTGGTGTTAGTCTAAATTTGCCAGAGAGAACATTTCTGGGGCTGATTGGCTGGAGTGGAATTGAAGTAAGTATCCTGAAAGATCATTGAATTTTGTCTGACATGTATAGCAACGAAAACTGGCCATGGATGAAGCAGAGCACTTAAACCAGGCCATTGAAAGTTTGAAGGATTCAAACTCGTTTGTTGCTGAGCTCAATACCGTCCTCTAGATTTTGTTATTGGAACAGGAATAGATTGCTGAGGATCGATAGTCTATTGTTTTTCTTCTGAAAATATAAGTTTTCTCCTTGAAAAAGTTCCCGCAAGTGTTAAAATGAAGTGATTCGTCAAATATTTATGCCGCAAAACGTTGGAACAGTGTGGTGGTTTGGGGTGGCTAATATTGAAGAGCTGCCAAAATGGTCTAGCGGAGAGTTTATATATCACGGAACAAAGCCCTTGGCATAGTTCATGACACACACTTTGGTATCTTGTATTACCACGACATTGAACCGTTTGAACGAGCTTTTTGTATTGAAGCCGATGTATATCTGACAATAGTGTTGTTAGTGAATCTATGTCAGGGCAAGATAACAATGGATGGGTTCGAAGATTGTAAGGAAATGCAATCTATCTATAATCTGATATGCAAGGTTAACAATGATCTTTATTACAAATCCATTGAAGAGATCAAAAGTCGGCTGGTCCAAGATGCTACTGTCATGATTGATTCTCATACTATTGGTATCATAGAGGGGTTGGTAGGATGTTTTCTCGCGAGATATCGCCAGCCTTCACTACATCCCTTAACTTGACGCTCTCAAACTCACCCGGCTTCTGGAAGAGAAATAATCCAGCTGCGCTATCCGCGAAGCTTGCTTCAATCGACATCATCGGGTAGACTTCACTGGAAGATTTATGACCATCATCTCAAACTCTGAAGTAGGATTCGATTACACCGACGATTGAATTACGATTGTTGAGGCTTCGCTTAAAAGAATTCCGGACTTCATTGGACTGACTACTACATTGCATCAGCTGGCGAATCTCGTCTGGAACTGTAGCTGGCCGACAACTGGATTCACAATAGATGTGGAACCATCTTAGAAATGCAATAAAAAATTGATATTTAGGCGTTCATAGCCACTCTTTATATGACTTGCGCATACAAAGACTTAGAGGTTTGGTATATTTTGAGGTACTAACATTACCTAGTTTCAGTTCAATTTGAGTGTAAACGAACAAAGATATTTGTAACAAAATGGAAATCAAGCTCTGATCATCCAATTAATCACTGAAGCACTTGATGCCTTGAAGGATATCTAGCAAAATGAGTTGGACTTGACGTGATTGCTGGTTGAATGACGGGATATCACAGACAATTTCTTGCTGGCGCTCTTCCTTCTACCCTTACATGTATTGCGAATTGCTAAGGAGAATTGTGCGATATGCTGTGAGCTATAAACTATGGTAAACGGATGAAACCGTTATCACATTGTCCATGGATCAAAAGGATTGTGCAACTTGCCAAGTATAAAGCAGCGTGAAGTCGCGCATCTCGAGGGAGATTACCAAAAACAATGCAAGAAAAACGGATGGCAAAGTCATAATTCAGACGGATTAATGTTCATGGATTTGAGCCGTCCGAACAACCCGAACGATTGAGTAGCTCAAAATACGAACGACGGAAAAAGGAAAAAGGAAGAACATATCCAGGATGCTCTTGAGAGACAATGCCTGTCGACTACACGGCTCCACAGATCCAGAAGCTAGGATCTCTAGAACGACAGTCCGTTTCACTCAAATGATAACAGGCATACCCTTGGCTAGCAAAAGTCTTTCCTTCTTAAATGTCCGAGATTTTTGATATTGGAGATTTTATTAACGACTTTGTGTAGGTATGTAGTTCGGGGTAGTTAGATACTCTCCACGAGTTTTTGAGACATGTCAAAAATCATATATCGCTTGATGACTTGATATGCTGACTATAACAGTTGTACTGCAGCTGGGCATGAACTACTAACGTCAACTTTGTTTATATGATGCTCTATAAGTCGGACGAACACATGGGTACACAAAACACATTCAGAGTGAAACAAGGAGCCTTCATCTCGGACCCACAAACACACAAACACACAAACATACAAGCGCACTTAGCTTGACAGGATCCGCAAAACCATTGACCTAGATGATAAACATCGGAACTATCAAGCCTTTGCCAATTCATCTCGACTACGATTTAAAGTTCAAAGTTAGCTAGATCCTTTGGACGGTCATCCAGATGTCAGATTTCGTTCAACCGTATTCTTCTGAATATGCATTGGTGATAAGAGACTACTCAAAAAATAGCTAGATACTAGCAAATGCCGATACATCTCCCGAACCTTTTTTTCTGATTGGTCCTCACATTGTGATAATGATACGACTTTCATCGAAACGAATATTTATCATTCTACTGCTTATTGCCCTTGCATGAAACTTTATGTCCCGCCAAATTTATCATGTATTTAAGCTTCAGGGTCTTCAATAGTCTGGACTACACTCCAGCAAACAAACATCAAAAGGGTTCAGCTTGCGAATTCATTCAATTTTCAATGAATACGAAACTCTGATGTGCACTGGTATTACACTGCTCTTAGATAATTCGTTATTGAGAGTCTATAGCTAATCCTCCAATCTGCTCGTACGGCCAGAAAGTATGGAATACGCCCTCTAAATATGGTCCACCAATCACTGTGAAGTATGCCACCCTCATGGGATGTGCCCCTAAGCGGGAGTTTTGTAAACTTTCTAGCGCACGAATAGACTATCAAACATCACCCTTGCAAACTAACGGGCTAGTCACCAAAAGTCAAAGCTTCGATGCAGCAAAATTCATGCACGCAGAAGAGTCACTATCAACATTTTGAAGCAAGAACACAAGATCAAGGTACTATATACAATTTTTCAAGCGCGAGACTATATACAAGGAATAAAGTATTTACAAATTCGAATACAAGGTTCGATAAACAAGACGATATCGCGGCGATTAACCGCGAACATCGATCAACGAGCTACTCAAAATACGAGCTCACCTCATGCGAGCGCGCTATAAGGAGCAATACCGGGGTAGTATGATGCGGGATGAGTTGGGATGGCGATACTAACGGTAATACCTAGACCATTGGTAATTTCTCCAGGCATGGTGGTGTAGGCATATGAACTTAATTTTGAGTTAGCTTTTAGTTTAACAGGCCAGAAATAGAATAGAAAACTTACGCAGTAGGAACAGAAGTAACGGTTCCAGTTGAAGTGTAAGTTGTATAGGTCGTTCCAGAATTGAGACAAGGTCCACTTCCATAAGCGTTGTTGCACTTGTACAATTCCGAGGATCCGGTGTCAGTCCAGATGTAGAAACTGGAGATGGTGATGTCCTTGCAAGGGATGGCAGCCGGACAGAATAATTGAATAGGAGCTCTGGCTGCACCGTTTGCACAGGTACCGCGCCAGTTAGAGAATGTCAAGTCGGAGTAGGTGACTCCGCTGCCGGCTACGACAGATTGCCCAGTCCAAGCACTGTCAATGTCAAGAGTATAGGCATTGCTATGTCCCATGAAATTGTTGAATGTTGCACTTTTGAAGCTACCAGAACCACCGTTTGATTTGATCATCATCATTTGGTTGCAGTTTTGGGAGTAAACGTGGTTGTATTCGACATTGGAGATTGCTTGGATAAGTGTTAGTTAGAAAATATAGTCGAGGGCAAGCAAAGTTTACCAGTATCGGCACCAAGACTTCCGATGGCACTTCCTCCTGACCAATTGCAGTAGATGTTCTCGACTAGGATGTGACTAGCAGGACTCTGTGAACAGTTAGAGAGTTTTCTTCTTCTCAGAGATGATATTGATGTCGTACCTTGACAGTAACACATTCATCTTTGTTTGTGACTTCGATATCGTGTGCCCAGATATTGGTTCCCCAGATATCAACACCATCCAAACCACCTTCATTGCCACCTCGAATGACCAAATTGTATAATTCACCGTCTGTGCAAGTGTCGACTGTGAGATGGAATGCAGGAGCTATGAGAAGAGATTAGTACGATGCAGACAGACAACAACGAATAAGTGAATACTTACAATCAACTAAGACGATACCATGAACTGAAAAGCTTGTAACTTGGTAAAGACGCAATATTCTTGGACCGTATGTGCCCGCTATGAATATAGTTAGCACAAAGACTTAAATATTTGAGGACATTGGACTACTTACCCGAATGGAAGACATAGCCGTAACCCTGGATAGCACCCTTAGAGTTACCGCTGTAAAACTCGAAATCGGTTGTGTGTTCAATGAATATCATGTTTCCACTCGCAGTACTAGCACGAATATTCGTCAGTGAATGCCGCAATTGTTTGACCAATGATGTAAAGTCTTACCCAGTTCGATAGATAGTTCCCTCCAAGTTAATGGATACACCGGTTCCTCCAGTGAGGGTGACCCAAGTGCCGAGACCATAACTTCCAGAGGGGATGTAGACTTGCACTTAGTTAGTAACAGCACGACGATATCGAGGAAGACTTCAAGATATCATACCTTCACCTCCGTCTATACATGCTGTCCATGCTTTCAGAATAGCAGGTCCATTGTCGGTAGTAGCAGAAGCAACACCGCCGTAGTTGAGAATGTTACAGATCTTCACTGCAGCTTTTTGAGCTGTTGTAGTGGTAGGACCAACTGTACCAGAAAGTTGACCAACCACGAGAGCTGGTAGGGCCAATAGGGAGGCAGTAACGAATGAAAACACCGAAGACTTCATTTTGACAATAGAGAGAGAGGTGAGGAAGAAACAATGTACATGCAAAGATCGACCATTTCAACTGGCGATCACGTATCTTTTGAATATTCCGAGTTTGAAAGGGGTTCAGCATTTTCGGTATATCTGTAACCGCGTAGAAGAACCCGTGAACGACTTTGTCCACCCTCTCTATCACACAAGTGTGAATAGATCTAGAAATTTTGATGGTAGATCCTCGTCCATCCCACCAATGATTACATATTAGCCGGAGAGATACATCCATGCGATATTTCTTAACATATAAAAATATTGAAACTACACTTTTAGATACAAATAGGTACCGAACTGTGGACACTCGGTGGATTCGTGTCCAAAGACGTATGCAATGTAAAAAGTACCGACCCCGATGTGAATGAAATTAATTCCGCACGGGTTCCACTTTTGTGCCCTTCTCCATTTTCCGGAAATTAAAATCTTGTTCTGAGTGAAAGAAAACGGAAGGAGTGCCTGTTGAGATTCTTACTTAAGATTCCTGTCTTCTGATATAGATTTGCAAAAAAGGGAAATTAGAGCGTCGATCCGTCCATCGGACTCTCATTGTAGGTGGGAAAATTTCTCAACATTTCCGACCCCATAAAACATGGGGTCACAAGGCTCGAGAGCCGAAAAAAACTAAAGTCTGGGGAAAATCCGGGGTAATGACAAAATGAATATAACTTTTTCCGGCGACTTGCAGGTTTACACGTTGTACAAGTATGATTCATTATTAATCAATCCATGACTGTTGGGAAACGTGGTTATTAAGGTTAATTAGACTGCCTACATGCACTGTAACCAAGCCAACGAAAATCATTGACGCCATGCCTCAACCAAGAAACAATCAGGCTTTAATCGTGAGAAAATCAGTTGTGATTCGGATATTTCGCCGCCGTACCGAAACGTTAAAATGAGTAAGCCCCTTCATCTAACGAACATGAAAACAAAATGAACAGAAGCATCAATTAAGCTTCGAACCTGCTACCAACTCGCCAAGAAAAGGAGACTCCAAATGATTGGCTGAGCTCTACATTATGCGTGCCTAAAATGTAGGTAGAATGGCAAAAGCTAATCTGTAACAAAAAGTAACACAACAGCCATGAAGTCAATTGTAAACCGCAAATCAGGTGTCTAAATGGTTGGTTCGTATCGTGGTAATCACGAGAGATCATTTTCGAGACTTCCGAGCAGACGGTAAATCTTCCTCCCGACCGCGCTTAGTTGTTGACCTCACCATGGTTGGTGGGGCTAAGATTACTTTTGCGGGGGCGCAAACTCTCCAGTCTCTACCCGGAGCTTTGTACCTGACTCCGAAACATGTGGTTATGAGAACGTCTCCCCCTTCGATAACAAAGTTCGGATGCAATTGAGAATCATCCAGGGCGTGTATACTCGAGTCGAACTTCGAATCGGGAGGCGCCCAGATGCTTTCAAATTCTCCTTTGTATGACCCCACGATTTTGTGCAGCTCATTACCCACTTTTGCCATGCTTTCATGAAAACTGTTCATATTATCACCATCACCAATTAAGGGCTGCATGATCATATTCATTTTTTCTGACATGTTTGTGCGACGCAATTCCATACGGTCTTCAAAAAGCTGGGTCTCTCCCATCTGCCGATGATATTCCTGCAAAAATATGTCCGCAACATGCTCGGAAAAGCCTACCGTCAATTTATCAGTATAATGTTTCTAGAAGGGCAGATGGCATCTTATCCTACAAAGGTATGCTGTCTTCCGCAACATTGTATCGTTACCGAAAGCTGAGCTTCCTTGGAAGGTAAAATCGCATATGATGTATGCAATTACTCCCCTCAGAAAATCCAATGGTTTTAAGTGAGTCTTCAACAAAGGATTGTCAACCTTTTGCCTGATGAGCACTCCAGTCGGAACATCCAATAAGCCGCGAATGTTAGCCAGCGTCGTGCCAGCATTCGAAGCAGGAACCTTTTCATCTTCGATGCAAAGAAGTTCCCAACAGCTTTTGGCCCTGGCTAATGGTGCCATAGAACTGCCTTTTACCAGTTCAGTGTATTGGAGTATCAATGTCTCTAGATATGCCAATGGACTAGTGATCTTGTCGTCATCAACGCTTTCTCTACCGAGTCTAGAACGAATGTTGTCTTTATTGCAGCTTTGCCTCACGAAAGCATTTGCTGGTGCATCATTCCGCCTTTCGAGATACCTAGACCCAACGCTGTTGGAATCTAATGCTTCAATTTGTTTCTGTTTATAAGCCGTGGTATCTGTTGACAAAACTAATGAATTCGCCGAATTTTGGTCGAGGTATATTGTGTCATCAGTCGATTGACGCTCATAAAGAGGACTGTGTTCAAGTGCTATCGAGCCCGGAGTTTGAGACAGTTCTGTATTGGGCTGCTCACTAGACTGGTATAAATGGCTCCCAGAAATCTTGTTCTTGTCCGATGTCTTAAGCCTCAAGAGTCTGCCTGGCCTCAAAAATCGCGCATTAAAGACACATTTTTTCCCAGCATGTTTGCATGATTCACATGCCACATCAGCACTTTCTTTTAGGCATTGCAGCCGGTGTCGCTCGCATTGCGTGCATCTGCGCGTCCTAAGATGAGAGAATTTCGAGTTGAGGTCACCCTTAACGGAAAAATAAGCTGGCATAGCATGGTGACGCTTGAGTCTCGGCAAAAGTATTGCTTTCGCAATCTGCTCTCGCAATGGCACGGTGATGATCAAATCCGATGTCGTACTTTGCTGTGCTTTGGACACGATTGTAGTGATCGAATGACTAGAGTCAATAGTACCTGTATGAGACGCAAGGTCCTCTTTTGTGGGCGTCATTATAGGCAATTTGATTGAATCTATAGTTTCGTAAGCATTATGTGTAGTAGATAAAAATCCCAAGCATTGGAATACCTACCACGAAGATTTTTGTCACTAGCTGGGTTACCGATTAGTGGCTGTACTTCAGCGGCGCTGACAGACAGATTGTTCGTAAGGGGAGTCACATCAAGAGGAAAGACTGGCATTGCCATTTTGTTGTCTGGGATGTAGACTGTCTTCCTTGTGTATCGAATTTGAAACTAAGAAGTAGAATCTTGTTGTAAAGAATATTTATTATTTCGATGGAAAAAGTCCTGTATTATTGAAGGCAAGCAAACAGCTCGGTGAGATGATTCTGCAGTCTTTAGTACTCTCAGGCGTTATTGCAAATCTGGTAACAATCGTTATGTGAGACAAGACCACGCCACAAACACTGCAGTTAGGCAGATATAAATCAAAGGCCTTCACATCCAATTTTCTCAAGCCAGTTTGCATCAGTTAATGGTGGTGTAACACTGCTGAAAAAGATGTCTTGGATAACTCTAGTAGATATGTGACAGAATGTGCAAATGGTAAAGTACAGATTGACAAACTCGGTGAACTGTTTTGGTGACCACTCAGTAATTCAAAACGTATCTAATGCTGTGCGACCATCCAAACTGGCAGCATGCAGCAGCTAACAATTATCACAATTTAATATGGCGTCAGCTGCAAAAGTGCGGGAGAGGACTATCCATAAATATGGCCGTTGTCAAGCTTTACACTTGTTCTAACATATAAATTTCGATTAGCTTGGCGAAAAAGGATTGAAGATAACAAATCTGCTATGTAATATCCAGAACTGGGCATCTTTGTGTTCTACTTGTACTAATTTATACTCCGAAAATGTCTGCTACGGAATCGAGAAGTGATCAGTCGGCTTCGAAAGGTAGGTTGATCATGGGTATAGATATGGGAACTACTAGGGGTGCGGTTGCCGATTTGCTACTTCCGGGCGGTGATCAAGAGCTTGGGCACCAGTATGAACCAGAACCTTTCCTGTTTGCCGACTGGAAGGGCTCTTGGGGAAGTGGAGATGAGTTTCCTTTGACAGCACTCTACTATAACGAAAATGATCAGGAGACTTTGCCAATGACCGGGCATGAGTTGAGAATGCTGCTGGACAGCGCAATACCATTCAACACAGAGCGATTCTTCCCTCTATGGAAGTTACTTTTTCACGATAGTAGGGACCCGGTCACCGCCTCACTCCAGGGACCAATGTTACTAAGGCTGGAAAAATTGAAAAAAACGAGGGAAGATCTCCTGCGAGACTGGGTGTCGATTGTCTACAAGGAGCTGATTTACGACTCCTTTGGCAATCTGCCTGCTTTGAGAAGGGGGATAATACCAAACCTCGAAGACCTAAAAATTGAAGTTATCGTTCCAGTGCCGCCAGGACGCTCAACAATTGCACATGAACAGGTGCGGAATGCTTTAGTCCAAGGTCCTATCACATCAAATCAGGTATTTTTGGTCTCGGAGCCAGAGTGTTCGTTCGGATGGTGGTGTCACATGGAAGCCGAGAAGGGGCAGCATGAATGGAAGGTGAGCAGAATTCAAATCAGCGGGGTCTTGACTAATGAAACCAGATCGGCACAAGGTACATAGTTCTTGATGCTGGCGGCGGCACGGCAGTATGAAATCTGCTTCCCTTCGCTCATTGATCTTCATACTGACAGTGATTTCAAAAGTGTACGGTCACCTACAAGTTGACAGGTATCAATCCGCCAAGATTTAAGCAGGAGTTTGAAAGTGAAAGTAAGTTTACGCGGAATAGTACCCTAGGGATTGACTAATATAAGAATTCTAGGTATGATCTGCGGCGCAGAAACCATTTCCGAGAACTTCAGAAGACTTCTGGATGCTAAAATCCCAGAAGGAATAGCACATCGACCATGGGCGATACAACACGCTTTGAACTCGTTCAACAAAGGATACAAAAATTATTTCGGAATCTCGAAAGACCCGCGGCCATTCTGCATTTTGATACCAGGTCTGGTGAATGAGTTGAAAATTGATCATGAAGACATCGTGCAGTGTTTCGCTAAGCCTCTGAGGAGATTAATAGCTGCCGTCGAAAAACAGGTGAACCAAGATAAAAAATCCGTTCCTGATTATTTAATAATGGGTGGAGGCATGTGCCTTAACACCTATATCTCCGAAGCACTACGGAGGGAGTTTCAGCACCTAAAAGTGTGTCAACTACGCCACAACAAAGCACATATCGTAAAAGGTGCCGTCTGGCTGAGATCCCAGCAAGATTTCATTACCCGCCGTCCTTTGAAGTATACGGTTGGTATAGTCACTTATCAGGAAGTCAATCCTTCAGTCAAGCGCTTCAGTGGCAAGGGATATAGAAACGAAGATACGTGGAGAAACCAGAGAGACGGCAAACTCTATGTATCTGTGGTATATTTCTTGGCCAAGAAAGGCCAGCTCATCGACTCCAATCACAAAGCCACATCCGAGGGATTCAAGGATGCCCGTGTACGCTATTCCACATCCACTTCACTCCAAGATCTGAATTTTGAAGACGTGGTTTACACCATGAATTATACGCCTGACAAAGGAGAGACTTTTGTGTTCTTGCGTCAAGATGGGCGATTGGTCAATACACATGGGGCATTGGTTCGCAAACCCGAAAAATCGGACAGAATGCGGTGGAACCCAATGGATAGTGGCATCGACCTGAAGGAGTTAAAACAAAAGAGGTTTCGTGAATCAACGCCATCTTATATGATAAGGTATACAATACATACTGAAATGACAGACGTGGGTTGCAAGTATTGCATCATGATATTTTCCACGAATGGACAACAGCACGGATTCTGCGGTGATCTTCAGGTAGAATCAATCACAGATATCCAACAGATTTCAGAGAACCTGTCTCAGAGCTTCGCTTTCGGACAGCGACAAGTTGCGCCAGCACGGGCAAGTAAGCCAGCTTCCACGGGTGTTTCCGAGAGGCCTACGAAGAAGGTGACACGTTCGAGTCTTCGAACTTCCAATCTTCAACAGATCTCCAAAGCGGCCAATGCTGTTATTGGCGGGCAAAACGAACCATCTACATGGCCAGCAACAGAGGAAGTCTCAAAGGCGGCTCGACTTGTGAGGGATTTTAATGGTGACTCTCCCCTCGGAAGCCATCCATTACCCAACAATCTCTTGGTTACACCTTGTCGCCCCACGAAGCGAACATGTTTCTGACGAACATCAATACTCCTGAATCCACTGCCCGAATTTCATCACCTTCGATACAAGTTGCAAATTTTCCAAAACCACTTGCTCAGTTTGTATTATTTTGTATTTATGGTTGACACTTTGTTTGGCATATGCTAGAGAGATACTACAGAAGCATTGAGAGGCGCGAAGGATTTGAAGCGGGCGTAGAAGAGAGTAGACAATGAATAGATGGATCGATTCCAGCACATTGCAATCATCATTTCTCATGCATCCTCGCGGTGATACATTCTTCGCGGAAGTACAGTCCAATGTCGTAGCTGTGTGCGAGATATGTGGAAGATCGTCATCTCGAGTATCATGGAGGTTCTCTAATCAGAATGACGATATCGTAAAGTATTGAAAGGCTTAGCTTGAGGTTCAATTATTCGAATTGAATTGTGGTCGAGCATCTGCGACGCGAGGGAGATCTCTCGAGCTCAGTAGCACTTAACTCCATAGTCAGTATGGAATATCCTTTCTCCGAAAGCATACAGATATAACAAGTAAATACTCAGACACTTAGCTCAATTTTTACATACCTTTGATGGAGAAATCTGCGGAAATTCATCATTTCTAAGAGATTGTCGCGTCTGTTTCAATTCTCAATTTCAACCTTGGTGGATTGATTTGAGATTCTGCCGTTAGTCGCCATTTCTGGTCACCGCTCAGTTATTCATCCACTAGAGCTAATGTCAATCAAAGTATTTTTTATAGTACTGTCTAATTCTAGAGACGTCTAAGCGCAGACGGGAGAATTAATCCTATCTTCATTTATTGCTATACGATGAACTGTACCAACGTCTATACGTCGGTAGATAGGTACCCATTCATAGCAAGTCTAATGACCTCTTCCAAGTCATGAGCTCCCAATGTTTCAACGAGCTGGGCAAAGGGAGTTCATGTTGTACAGTGAGTGACTATTAGTGAATATGAGTCGAAAAAACGGCGGAAGGGAGACCAATTCGTCATTGCCCTACGTGAAAGAAAAAGTTGTTCATAAAAGCGTGCAAGTTTGTTCGTAAATACACCACTATCCATCAAGAACTCCTCATATTGAAATCTTTAATCATCGACGTCTCTTCACCCCTCACACAATCTTTCTAACCAGGTTAATTGGCTCTTAAATCTTTCAGAGCTATCCATACGAAGACTTAACATAATGGAGAGTCCTCAAACCATCTCAGCAAGTGCCACTTCCTACTTGACCCTTGCCAATGGATTTTGGTTGATTATTGGCTGGGGTTTAGCCTCTTTTCTGTATCAGATTGTCTATTATCGTTTCTTTCATCCCCTTAAGAACTACCCAGGTCCATTCTGGGGTACCGTTACCAGACTTTGGTATACTTACCAGAGCTACAATCAAAGCGAGTTGGTGGTCTATGAGAATCTCTTCAAAGAAACGAAAGGTGCTTATGATGTCATCTACCTATGAAGATTATGGTCACTAATAAATATTGCATGTATAGCTCCTGTAATACGCATTTCACCCACAACTCTTCTAGTCAAATCAGCCCTCGCTTTGCCCATCATCTATCACCGCAATGCAGTCAAATCCAGATTCTACAGCAATGGAGGCTTTCCTGCTGAACCTGTTATCAGTATTCGCGACCATCAAGCACATTCTTATCGTCGAAGACTTATAGGACCTCCTTACTCATACTCAAAGATAATCAAAGCTGAGCCCCTCGTTGATAAGATAGTCTCGGCATGGCTTACGAAGATGAATGAACTTTTTGTTGAGACACGAAGACCTGTAAATATGGCAAGTTGGGCTACTTATTTTGCATTTGACACAATCAGTGAAGTGGGCTTTGGACAAGCTTTAGGCTTTGTGGAGAATGGAGAAGATGTGGGCGGATTGATTCAAGGTGTACATGATGGTATTGAGATATTTGGTGTCATGGCGCATCTGTACCCTTTCGTAGAATGGGTAACATCGGGGCCATTAGGTCGGTTCTTTACCGCAACACCAGATATGAAGAATGGCATGGGTCAGCTGATGAGATGGAGAGATAAAATCATTAATGCCAGAATTACCGAAATTGAGGAAGGAAAGAGAAGAGATCGTGTGGATATTCTACAATCGTAAGTCTTCTTAGTGCTTCAAAATTCGGCATCCGGTTAACTAAATCATCTAAGATTTCTCGAGGCGAGAACACCCGAAGGAACCCCTATGAGCCGAGATGAATTAGAAGCCGAAGTTTTGGTTGTCCTAATTGCCGGAGCAGATACTACAGGTACAACCTTCAGCTCCATTGTAACAGATATTCTCTCATCATCTGGCGATCATCAACGAATGGTGGCTGAGATAGATGCCGGATTTGCAGCTGGAAATCTTTCACATCCAATTCCCACAGCCGCAGAAGTTTCAAAACATTGCCCGTTTTATGTTGCATGCATAAAAGAGGCTCTTCGACTTACTCCGTCCTCACCAGTACTTTTCCCTCGAGAAGTAATGGCCCATCAACCTCCTTTGGTAATCGATGGCAAGGTAATTCCAGTTGGTACTGAAATCAGCTGTTCCTCATATTTTGCAAACCGAGATAAGGAAATATATGGCGAAGATGCCGAGAGGTTTCGCCCCGAACGATGGCTTGAAGATGAAGAAAGGGCCAAGCTTTTTGAGAAGTACAATTTCACTTGGGGATATGGATCAAGAGTATGCTTAGGCAAGGACCTTGCGTATATGGAGTTGATGAAAGGTCCTTTAATGGTATGTTCTTCTCCTGCTACCAAGCAATTGATAGCTTAATATCTGCTAAGACTAACACACTCTTTAGTTCTTTCGTAATTTCGACTTCAAGTTATGTAAACCTAGTAAGGAAACACCTGGTCCACCCAAGCGTGTTACAGTTGGCGGTTTATTTCATTGGCAGAATATTTGGCTCGATCTACAGAAGCGCAAGGTTTGGGATGTATCAGAATAGTATTACGAGGGGCCATCAGTGACCATGTGGTTTTTTAAAGATAATTTTCTTGTTTAATTGTGTCCATCTCTAGTTTCGGAATAACGCTTTAACGGAAAAGGGAGGGGGACAGGCTAATATAATCGATACTATGATTTTCTTGACCATTAGCTCGGAATGGCTCCCTTCAATGTGTTGCTGTATGTTGAACTCTGTTCCCGTCCTAAACTGAATTTGAAGTCACTGAGAACTTTGAACTTGCACCCCACAAAGCAACACAGATCCGGATTTTATCTGGTTCTTAGATAGATGCACGTCACCATATCTAGTTTTCCAGTGTGAGGTTTACTTAATCACTGCTTCACAGTCTTGAGGCTCAATCTCTCGACTATTGCCTTTCACACGCCACAAACAAAGCTTTCAGAAGTGCCGAAGATCTCCAATACCCCGCTTTAGTTCAATGCCACAAGTACGCTGATTTTCTGAGCTTGTATACTCTAGATCAACACACAGGAAGCTGAAGATAAATTATAGGAATAGACGTTTGTTGACTCATTCTACCCAGAAAGGGAGCCGCACATATCTTACGTAGAATGCCTTGCAGTCTAACCTTTTTGGCAAGCAATTGCTGCATTAACAATAGTTTCGCGTCTCTCAATTTTGTGTAGCACAAGTATATTTCACAGTGAACGCCTAGCAAACGAATGTCTAGACGACTTTTTTTAGGCAGCAGAGAGAATATACCATGCATGTTCTCGTTCCGTAGCTCATCTATCTTGCGCTCGGGAAGTCTTTCCATCCGGAACTATCTTGCTTTCCATTTGACTCATGGATTGTAGCTTTATTCAACAATCATGTATCTAAAATGGCAATTGCAGCCTTTGGAAATGGCAGCTATTCCTGCAAGAACCTCCTGAAGGGCAAATCTTCAACATCATTGAAATAGAAAATTTCCGGATGCAAGCGCTTCAGATTAGCCAGTTGGTTCTAGACTGAAGTCTCTGCAGCCACCCGTCTGCTCTTCTACCCTTTATTAATTTCGTCTGATACTCAACTGTTATAGGTCACTTGATCCCCGTAAATTCACTTAGCAACGGACGGAGAAATACATTTACAATGCGGCTTTCCAATTTCCTCTTTCATTTTTTGCAACCATCTTTTGGAATGATTCATACGGTCCATATTTCCCAGACCACCATCTAACACCTGTGGAGATTTTCTGGATGTTACACAAGCTGCGAGCTACAAAAGCTTCAGATTTACCTACCTATCAATCTCATGCCACATATACATCATTCCGGATACCCACATTGCCAGGTTCATGGAAAGAGCCATGCATGCGGATTTAGAAACCGGAAAGTTCTCTGTAGTGAAACCGGTCGGGATATTACAGAGGCCAAGCAACAAAACAGCCCCAAGTTTGAATACACCTGTACTCCCCATGTTAGGGGAACATATTGTGTTGTACACATAATATCTCAAGCCTTCCATCTTAGCTGCAATATCTGTGGCATACAGCTCTGCAGGTAATCGTCTGCGCTCAAGATGTGTCTCATCTCTACAAGGAAGGGCTGTAAACGTGTACCAAGAAATGTTTTAGTTGGATTCAAAAGCAGAGATTGAGTTCTACTAGTTTTTCAACCCTGCTGTAGATTTTAAGGCCCCAACAACCGATTCTCATTCTCTCTCCTGCCTCAAATCTGGAGCTATAGCATTCCGAAGAGGGCTGTGTTTAACGCAGCACCGGAAACCAGCTTACTGCGCCAACCACTTTCTAGCCTCCAAATTCCCTCTCAAATGTCTCTCAAATATTCCCCAGTAATCATCATCACCCCAGATACCTCTCACCGCACCTAGACCAAAAATCGGCTTCTCGCATCCTGCCTAAAGCTACAATATCTAATCCCGACAGCACCTCCTATGACTCACTCACACCTTGAGAACTGCAAGATTCCAACCCAGCAATTGAATCTCACGCACGTAGTCATAGCACAGCTGTGCTTGTTTCCCGACGCCTCACCTGCATTTCTCTTCTCCAAAACACTAATCAGTCAATACCAGCTTCTGGCTACCCGCATCCCGCATCCCGCATCCCAAACATACCCAGCAGACCAAATTTACCGCACTACAACGCAAAGTAAATAGCAGCAACATACCAACATATCTACATACCAACGAAAAACATCCTCTAAACCTCAACCGCGCCTCTTGAATCTTAAATCAAACGCAGCCTGCATGAAACTACATACCAACTGCCGGTTTTCCACCTATACCCTGCATAGTACTGCAGAATCTAACACTCTCCCTTTCCAAACAAAATTTGCTTGCCAAATCGTGTATGTCTCATGTGCATGTATAAATGACTGGAACCGCCTACATACTGTACTTAGCTCGCTTGGCAGATGTTACACCGCCTATCTGTTGTTGCACAAAAGCCTTTGGTTCACTCATACCCTTACGCCACGTTACCTCATTTGCAAAATTTTGAGAAGTGTTGTGATTGAGTAATGACAGAATGTCATGCATTCTCGGTAATGAGAAACGTGATTGAAAGACGGATCATGTGGTTTGTATATCACGTGGTGTGGTAGGTCAAGAGCTTCAATGAAGGGGAGGCAGAAGAGGAAGACGGGGTTGTACTTGAACTCTTAAGATTGATGGATTGAATATCATACAGAATAGCTATCTAAAAGCTCCAAATAGGGGATATACCTAAATAAACATAAACAGATCTACAATATACTCCCAAACTCCTCTCCAAGCCAAACTCCCCTTTCCAATCACTCGCACTATCGTAGTAATCCAGCTCCCTTTCCAAACCAGAACCCTCGCTTACTCCTTATCCCATTCAAATTTTCTTAGGTCCCCATCCTCCCGACTCCATCTTCCAACCAGTCTACATCAATCTTCGTAACCTCTCCCTCATACTTTCCCTCTTCCCTCACTTTATCCACCAAACCGCTCGTTCTCTTCAATCTTTCCCTCCATCCTTCCACCCACACATAAGCTAATTTGTATTCTCCTTTCGCCACCTTCCTCTCTCCCATTTCCTGCGTCTTCTGCTTGACCACGTCTTTCCCCTTCTCCTCCACTTTCCTTGTCAGTCTACCAGCTCTCCATCTGATCTTTCTAGTCCTTCTATACCCTTTTTGTTTCCTCAAAGATACAGGGTGGACAAGTCAATTTCCATCCTTCAAGAGAGGTTCCCTCTCTGCGCCCCTCATACCCCCTACTCCTGAACCTCCCATCCATCCCGCACTCCCCTTGTCCCCACCATTCGTAAAATAAGGATCATCTTCATCTCCATATAGTTTTCCCCTATCGAAACTTCCACTGCTTCTATGCCCGGGTAATCCAAAGGCCGGACTAGGCATTCTTCCATCGCCATCTAGACTCTTTGGCAGGAAGTCTGCATCTGTATCTGGATCATAGTCATCTCTTGCATTGACGTTGGCATTTACATTGGTATTCGCGTTTGCATCCGCTTTAACATTCGCACTTTCCCCGAAACTCAAACTCGATCGCTTTGACAAACTCTCACTTCTGCTTCTCAAACTTGAGACCGAAAGACTATGTGGTCTGGTTTGAACCGGTGTATTCGAACGATTCTGTGAACCAACATTGAAAATACTCATTCCGGAAAGCGGTCTCTGTTTAGGAGGCGGATTTGAATCATTTGCTCCTGCTTCGAATAGAGAGCGCGTTCTAGCGAATATGGAACTAACAGGTCTTGGATTACGTTGTGGGGATGCGGTTTCTTTTTCTTGAGTTGTGGCTGCAGTTTTGGCGGGATCTTCTGACTGTGTCCAAGGAACGGAATGGAGATTTGGTGGCAGAGGGGTCGATTTCTCTTCGATCTGAGTGGGAGCCTGAGCTGTGAATATTGGGGTTGATGCAGGTGCATTGGAGCTCAAGATCTTCTCAGGGGGGATAAGTGATGGTGGAGTCGGTGCTAGGACTGGAGGATATTCCTGATCCATATGCACGTTGCTTACATTAAAAGAAGATGAATGTGCAGGACTTAGAATTGGAGATTTGTATTCTTGTGGGTTGAAAGGATCGAATTCGGCGGCATCTTGTAGATTAGGAGATTTGATAATTTCATCAAGGTTTTGTTCTTGATTTGCTGAATCATCCTGGGTATCATCATTTGGATGTGACCATCCTTCAGAAGATTCAAATTCCGTTGACATCATCTGACTAATGTGTGGTTGTTGTGACACAGGATCAGAGTATTGTGGTTGTTGAGGTGGAGTTGGGGGACCTGATTCGCCATCATCTGATGCATAATGTTCGAATGATGGAACTGTATCGACTGTATGAGATCGGTTACGACCATTATCGTTGTTCAATTGAGTTCTGTAATCTTGTTGCTGATCACCGTCTTGAGAATATCCCCATCCATTATAGGCGTTGTTGATTGAGGCATCTAAGTAATTTCGGTGTTCATCTGGTGGAAATCTCTCAGATCTCGACCTAGGACTCAATACAGGTGACTGATGTGGTTCCGGTGAAGGTGTTAAACTGCTTCGGATTTGTGAAACTCTCGAGAATACTGCCTCATGTTCTGGACTCAAATCACTATTTCGGTGATACAACGATGCTGGTCGTCTAGGTTTAGGTTTTGGAGTGAGGTTGTTATTTTCGACAAGATCTTCGTCTTTCAACGACTCGGGCTTTCCACGATTTTCCTGAATGTCAGGACTTGGCTCCAACACTCGTGGTAAATCCGTAGCATTAGAAGCAGTTGCGTTTTCAATTGGTGCTTCGAGATTGCCATCGATCAAATTACCAGTGCTGCTGACTTCGTGAGGTGACTCTGTTTCCTTGACATCGGAGCCAAACATCAATGCCATTGGTGTATGTGGTCTTTTGCTTGGCCCAGAATCTGAAACGTCAAGATTGGATCCGCTTAGATGGTTAAGCTCATCTTGAAGTAATTCTGTCGAAGTTTCCTTAATAGCTGGATTCTCTGACGCTGATACAAACGGGCTGTTCTCTCTCTCTTCTTTCAACCCATTGTCCTCAACGGAGTCCTCATATTGCCAATGTGGATGGAAGAATCTGCTCTTGGGCATGTCTTCTTCATCTTCATCGTCATCCTCGTGATCTTCGCCGACACGGGAAGCACCATCATGTGATTCTTCCCGGATAGTCTCAAGATAAGGAAGCGGGCCCTCCTCCTCTTCTTCTTCTGAGGATTGATCCCATTCATTTTCGCTTTCAGAGTAATTCCCTGTTTCCTCACCTTGCTTGGTCCTTTCACCTTCTGAGCCCGAGTCTCCTGGATTGTGATCTCCATCCTCGTACTGTAAAGCGTTAATTTCTTCATTTGGCTCGTCTGTGGTTGACTCGGCACTTTGTTCCTCACTTAGTACTGCGTCTGGTTGTTCGAAAGGGTTCAGATGCTCATCTTGTTGAATGAGTGCGGTGTGGAAATCCTCTTCTTCCGCATGTTCTTCATTTTGAGGGGATTCGTTCAGAGTACCCGACGATTCATCCGTTTCGATTGTTTGAGGTTTGTTTTCATCGACAACCTGTCTCTCTTCTTTTTCACTCCCAAGATCAGTAGATTTATCCCCACTCTCTTGTTGTTGATTGAGCAATTTCATTTGCTCGTTTAAGAAGGCAATTTCTTCTCTCGCTGCCATATCTTCGGCACTCTCTCTCCTCGGCCTCTCTTGCTCCGCTTCAACAAGTTCGCTTTTGTCCATATCATAGCTAGCCTTCTCTGTGCTTACGTCAACAGGTTTATTCTCTTGTTCAGCAGCTTGTTCCTCCTCAACAGCTTTCATAAACTCTGCATTCAAACGAGCAATCTCCTCTCTAGCACGAACATCTTCAGGGTCTTCATGTTGTGCTTGTTGAGTTGGAGGCAGAATATCTGGATTAACTACTTTTAATACCGGCCCGATGTTGACTTGCTCTGATTCAATAGTAGTAGGCTGTTCGTTCTCTTGAGGCAATGTTTCGTCGTGGACGGGTTCAGAATTAGTAGAGTTGTTGGGAATTATGTGTGACTCATCTTCTGTCTCGAGATTGATAGGATAGTCAGTTTCTCTGGACTTTTCAATTTGATGGCCTTGTGTCTCGTCGATGTCTCTTGCTTCATGAACAGCATCGACACTTTCATCATTTAAATTGTCTTTTTCAACATCATCGTGTCTCTCGGCACTTGTCTGCTCTACCTCAGACGGCACTTCAGCTGCTTCGCCATTCAAGCTTTCCGGGACAGATATCTCTGGTACCGAGGCAATGATCTCAGGCACGGACCTTGTATCTTCTTGGCTTTCAGGTTCTGCTGTCCTCTCTCTCAATGGTGATTCATCATCAACATGCACTGGCTCCTCAATAGAAATGATAGGGAGTTCCTTGTCTTCATGATGCTCTTGAGCCTCCACTATAGCATCGTCATTTGTCTGCTCTGGGACTTCTTCGACTTCTTGATGTATTGGCACCTCATTCTCCGAAGTCAATGGCTCAGTCTCAACCACTTTTTCCGACGCTTGAACATCCTCAGAAGGCATTTGACTTGATGTCATTGGTTCCACACTTTCGATCATGTGAGATGAAGAAGGTTTATCATCTTCGGAACTCTCTTCATGGCTCATTTCGTTTGAATCCACATGATTCTCTTGTTGAGCCACGTCACCTGTGTGCGAACTTTCATCACCTTCTTCAACAGTCTGTTGAATTGTAGGCGAAGGAAGTGGTGACCCAACATCAAGATTCAAAGTTGCTTCTCCAGTGCCTTCGAACTCTTCAGGGCCAGATGTAGGCGTTTCTTCAAGTATCGGTACTTGCACAGTACTGTTAGCCTCTACTAGCGGTTCTTCGCTCTCTTGATCGAGCTTTAGATCTTTTTCCTCGGTGTCAGGAGCTGATATCTCAGAAATAGTTCCCTGTTCTTCGGTGGCGGGCTCACTCTCTGGCGCATTGCTATTCTCTTGCTGGACCGCAGCTGACTCGTCAATTCGAAACTTGATGTGACCTGGAAATTGAACAGTATCATCAACGGTCTGCGAGATCTCATTTGAATCGCTATCAGAAGCTTCTTTATCCGGTCCCTCGTCTGACCCTGTATCGCCTTGGACTGGCACATCCAAATCACGTGCAACAACGTCAGGAGACTTAACTGCCTCTTCATTTTGTTCGGGAATCGTAATAGCCGGCTCGGCATCTATTTCAGTCTCTTCGATGGTGTTATTTGGAGTGATATCACGAGGTTCAGGTAGCTCCATTTTGTTACTTGCATTGGTGTCGCTTGCAGGGTCTGCAATAGAACCAATATCAGTATCTTCGACATGATGCTCATCTTGCGGCGGAACAGCAGCTTCGTCGACAACATCATTGCCCTTGCTAGCAGATTCAGAATCGGTAGATAATCCATGAGTTTCAGAATCCTCATGGCCTTCGATGTCTGCCGAGCCCACATCCGGAGTTGGCTCTGGACGTGGAAATGTTTCATTGGAGATGCTTCTCGCCTCTCCCGCTTCTAATGAGACAGCTGGCAACACTTCCTGTTTTTCGGGAGCATGTACACTCTCCAAAATTTCGGTATTTTCAGGTTTCAAATCAATGCTTGCAGTATCTTCAAGGTCCTTTTCAGAGTCTTCAATTTGCTCGGTGTGATCTTGGTCTGGAGTTACGTTCTCATCTTTAGATTCGCTCTCGTGGTTCGACGCCTTGGCATCTGTGGACTCTTCGCCAACAATATCTTGCTCGGCCATAGTAGGCTGTGTGTCTTCAATCGAATTAGACAAAGGTTCGGAGATAGCATCTGCAGTGTTTCTTGGTTCGATAACTTCCTCTTGGTCTTTGTCAACTTCTGGTAGGTTGTTTGACAAGAGCTGAGACTCTGGTGCTGGTACCTCATTAAGCTGAGCGCTCTCTGATTCTACTGGCTCTGGTAATGGCGTAAGAATTGCCTTGGCTTCAGATTCCTCGGGTGCAATTGTTCCACTTTGATTGGCAGATTCCGAGTCATCATGAGTGATTTCTGGTGCCTCATCTAGTTGCTCAACCTCTGTATCGGCTGGCTCCGGAAGTGGCGTTTTAATTGCTTCTTCCGCGGATTCCTTTAAAATGTTTGAATCGTCATTGTGGACCAGCTCCGGGTCATCCTGGGCTTCCTTCTCTTCAATTGATGCTTGGTTCGTACCTTCTTGCGCACCTGGGATAACAGACTCCTTGGGTATCAAATCATCTCCATTGTCTATCTCTGAGTTATCCTGATCCTTGGAAGCAGTGGTAAACTCTTCATCATGCATGGGAGTTAAGATTGCCTTGTTATTCAAGCTCAGGGGCATCTCGTCAATCGTGCTGTGTTGGGTTTCATTCGAAGGTTCATCGACAGCCCATGTCTCATTTCGTGATGCTTCATATTCCTCAAGTGGAAAGTTGTCATTTGATAATTTCTCTGACGAAGGCTTCTCCGCTGAAAGTTGCTCTGCGGTTTCAATTTGGACTGGATCATGTGTTGTATTGTCCGCTTGCACTTCTGGTTCGAGAGATTCTTTTTCATGGTCGGATTCATTATTTTCAGAGACAACTTGATCTTTTGGGGTATTCTCAACTTCAACTGTCTCAGGAGTTGTCTTTGATTCAAAGCCATCATTTTCAATCTGAATGTCGAAGGCCTCAGCGACTGGTATGCTGTCGTCTTGAGTTGAAGTATGCTCTTCCGCGAGGTCTTTGTCCTCTGAATCGTTTTCATTGGCAACATTTTTAGCCTCAATAGTTTCTTGAACATGTGGCTCTTGCGATTCTGTGGTTTGTGCATTCGGAGAAACATCCTTGGCTTCCAGATGAGGAAGCATTGCTTCATTTGCTTCCTCCTCCATAGCACGTCGAATTTCTTCATTCAGCTTAGCGATTTCTTCTCTGGCTGCTCTGTCTTCGGGAGATTCATGTGGTTCAAGCACTGGAACAGTCTCTGCTTCTTTTGGTTCCTCTATCAGACTGTTGTCTTGCTTTGAATCGTCATTATTATCTTCGTGGAGAGTTTCGGTTGATCGGCTATCTTCGATAAGATCCTTGATCATTTCCGGTTCTTGAGATACATGATCTTGCTTTAGATTGTCGCTGGTCTCATTTTGTGGAGCGTCAATTGACTGAGTCAAGTCAATTGATTCCTTTGGGGCATCATCAGCCCCAACAGATGTATCCTCTTGGGAAGGCTCAAGCGCATCATCAATCTCTTTGGTCATTTCTTCTACAGGCTCTAACGCTTCTGGTTCAGAAAGATCTTGACTACCTTGTGCAATATTATCAAATTCGGGTTGCTGATCAGCTTGATGTACCTCTTCAAGCTCGATGTGCTGCTCCTTGGGGACTAAGCTAGAGGTTTTTTCGATTGGCTGTGATACTTCTTCAATACTCTCAAGATTCGGTGATTGTGTCTCTTGGCCTTCAGGAACACCTTCCTCTTGAAGTGAGGAATCTGGTTGAACTTCCAAGTCCTTTGTTGGCTCTACCGCAAGGTCTTTTTCACTGTCCTTAGTATCAGCTACGTTGTCCTGAAGATCTTCATCTTTGTGCTCGTTCACATCACGACTTAAATCTTCGATTGTAACCGCATTTCTTTCTACATCCTCCTCCGTGCCCTTGTTGTTCTGATTTTCCGATATTAGATCTGGCTCTTGATCATTCAATACAACCTTTCTGCGGCTCTTGTATTGAATTTTAGGTAGTACAGTCGGAATATTGAGTTGCTCGTCAATTTGTCTGTTGATTTCCTGTTTTCGCAAAAATATTAGTAAATCGAAAAATGCCCAGGTACAATTGATAGAATACAAACATACCCTTCTCGCAGAATCTAAAGTTTCCAAAGCTTTTTGCCCATCTATCATTTGTTGCTCTAACTCATCTTCCAACCTTTCCATTTTTTCATCGATTCCATCCTCAACTTCTTTATGTTGACTTTGGAATTCGGCCTTCCTCTTCTCTACCTCCTCTTGCCTTACCTTTTCTCTCTCCTTGACTTCATTCTCGATTCTCAACTTTCTCTCCTCATCTTCACGCCTCCTCCTCTCTATTATCTCGTCTTCCTCTCTCTTGATCTGTTTCTCAATCTCTTGTTCCTGTTTGAGTCGTGCTTCCTCTCCTTCTTTCATTGCAATTTCATGAGCCATCTTCAATTGCTGAAGCTGTTCATCGCGATCTTTTTCTAATCGTGTAATTTCCGCATCATGATTCGAAGTGTCGCTAATTAAAGCAATAGTCTTGTGAATTTCATCAATATTGGAATGCAACTTCGTGACTAACTCTGCCACCGAAACCATTTTCCTTTCTTATTGAGTGGTCGATCTCAAGCTTGCAGTATAGTATAAGTAGATATGTAAAGATGAACTTCTCAGCTGAGACGATGTCCAATGGAAGAAACGGAAAGTTCAAGAAGTTCGGATGAAATATATGGAAATAGAAACGAATGTATGATACACCAGCAATCCAATCACAAAGAATTAATTCCGATTTCAATGCGACCCAGTCGCTGTTGGAGTTTGTAGAAACAGGAACAGGAAACGAATTCAAAAGGACAACTCAGAAATGACGCTTTTCGTTTCTTGGGAAAAGGTTCTTAGAGTAAGATTGAAAGGATTATGCTAGTTTCACTAAAAACCATCACAATGGATACTTGCCCTCATCGAATAGGCTTGCTAATATAAACATAAGCATAAGATGCATTGTTTCATACTTCATGCTTTGATCGCTCTTGATCGCTCAGACAATATATTTACACCTAGGGTAGCCCCTAGTGCTCGAGAGTTGTTCAATGTCGGCGCAGCGATAGAGGTTCGAGATTTTGAGATGTTCCCTGACTAGACATTTTGCCACTCATTCGATATATCATCTACCTCAAAGGCCAGTGGCAATCGAATAATTCTAAGCAAGCGAGGCAAGGTAGAATATGGCATTGAAGAAATCGTGGACTGCCGTCGTGCTTCCACATCATCCTTCTTCAAAAGCCAGGGTTGCAATCACGCTATCAACGTCCGAGCGTAATGGTCACCTGACCGGGAACTCGATCGCGCACGTGCTCGACCCTTATTATCGTCTGAGCGAGTGCATGGCACAATTCCTTCCTTTCCTTTTCAAGCCCAGTTCAATCTGTACTTCCTTTATCTTTCTCCAAACCGCACGAACTGATCCCGACTTTAAACCCTTTCCAGTATCGCTACCAATATCTAAAGCCGCCAAAACCCACGAGCGACTCGCTCAGGTCCCTTCAAACTCAATCTTAAACACAGGAGTCATCATCCTTGTCAAACTCGCTCGAGTTGCACAGATCTCCCACACGTCGCGCATCTGAAACTTCGAGCTTCAGATTCTGCTTTTCTATAACCAATCCCGTCCTTCAAACATACATCTGTACGTAAGGCACCAATTTCGGTACTTAAAATTCAGGATCAACGTCCGAAGAAAAGGTAAGAAAAATTAAGGTTCAGGACAATGCGTGGTGGTGTGAACTTTTAATATGCAAATACCGAATTCTCGCGTATATTTTCAGCGGGAGGATTGCAGGAGGAATGTAGTTCATGAGTTCATTGAGCTCGAGTAAGAAGTAAATTGTAAGGCTGCTTGCCAAGGCTGTGGTTGTTATCACGACGTCTTTGAATTTTGCGGTTTGCTGTAAATTCTCAACTGTAAAGCTTGATTGTCTAAGAATCATACAACCCCGATTTTGCATTATTTTGAATTCGTATTATACATTCTAAACTGAGGTAATGATCGTGTCTCATGATTGAAATATTGCTAGTCTTCATTTCAACCACAAACAGAAAAAAAAGTAATAATGATATTGTAGCTTGTGTATTTGTAGCCCCCTTCCCCCGGGGGCTCAATATTCAGGCTTCAGAACGAATGTTTGCTTCATCAACTCGAGCTCCTGGCTGGCTACCCTGGGCATGTAATATTCATATCCATCCCTCAATATGCCTTCTTTCCATTCCAATGCCACCTTTCTCGATTCCTCGCGCAAAAATTCTATAAATGGTATAGTTCCCCCTCTTAGAAAAAAATCTCGTACACTCCCCCATACACCTTTTGATAATCCCAAGCCTACTTAAATTCGTGACATGTTTTCCTTTGAAGCTCTAGCGGTTCTTGATCTGAATTGGTCTCTGAATTGCATTCTACCGATGGTACCGTAGGAAATTGTACCAATGAATAAAATTGCCCACACACCTGTGATGACACCACCAATTGGGAAGATCAGAATATTAAGACCTGGAACCACGAAAGGAGATTCGGAGGCGACGACGAGAGTTTGAATAGGTGGTTGAACGACAGTTTTAGTGACTCCAGCGGCTTGTGTGGAGAATTCACCATTAACGAAAGATGCTTGGTTGGTATTAAGAGTTGTATTCACGGTTCCACCGGAGACATCTCTGCCAGTCAAAGTCACCGTTGGAGTTAATAGTGCTTCCATGGTCGAGCTAAAACAAATTAGATTAAAAGACTTTTGATTTTTGGAATTCAACATACCTGTCCATATCCATGCCAATATATTCCTTATTCATTTGACCAACAAAAGCATATGATTGAACTAAAGTTATGGTCCTTCCCGTGGTGGTGTTTGTTATTGATTGTCGCTTTGAATTTGCTCGTGGCCACGAAATGATAGATGTGCCATCGCTTCTGGCCATCAACGTCGACATATTAACAGCCGATACTGTAGCTCCTTCATAACTCAACCCAACCTGAACATCCTGACTTGGGATATTGGCAAATGTTCCTGTGGGAGCAGACACATTGTATATTCGGAGGTCGGCCTTGAAAACTCCAGTACTGTTGTCGGCATATGGCAAGTTATAACAAACTGCCAAACCAGATGGATTGGTAGCCTGTCCATTCAATAAATCAAGTGCTTGAGTGCATGCCGCCTCAGTTTGAGTATTCCAGTCTGAAGCGTTCGTAGCCGCTGTAGTTACTGGTGCATCCGTGATAGACCTCCGGCGGTCTTCAATAATATTATTCATATATCGCCTTAACATCTCCTCCTGATTATCTCGACGAACCACTGGCTTCATATCCACAATCCCCGCGCTAACATGACCGGCAAGTAAGAGCGATGCCGTTACGGCTGCGTGCCAAAACATAATGGGCGGTGTTGATTAAAAAAGTCGAGACCGGCGAGTAAGAAAGGCCCAAGGTATGGTTTAAAGATTAGTAAATTTAAATCTGAATGACCCGACCGGCGGTGAGAAAGATTGCAAACAATGTCCTGCCTCAAGCAAGAGGTAGAGAACAACTTCAAAAAGAAAAGAAGGTATGAAGAGATGGGCCTGCCCAAGAATTGGAGTGGGAGAAGTGGCGATGATATTGTTTAGTTTGCCAAACCAAGAAGAATATTATGAATGTAAAAAAGAAGAAAGGAACAAGAAGGATAGGAATAGTCTAAAGGTGCCATGCCACATGAAAATGCTAGGCAAGCTTAGCATGGAAAAATACGAATCTCGTAACCAAAATTCGTAGACATTCGGAAGCAAAAACAACGATATGAAGCTCATACCAGGGGGTGATCTCAACTCGTCGATGAAAAATGGGCATGAGCATGTAAGCAACTCCAGACAAATTGTGTCGGACTTGACGGTTCTTGGTTTGGGAGGTTAACTTTAGCTCTGTCTGCAAAGAGATAATTCCATAATCGGAACTACTAGATTTTCCACTTATGGAGGGGTGTAGCATGTGCGAGACGTCTGAGGGTCAGTCCTATGGCGATGTTGAGACAGTGAGACCATCGTATGATGCGTGGTCAAGCTTTTCACAGATAATGTTGATTGGAAGACTTTTAATTTGTGAATGTGATCGACACAAGGAGGTCAAGACTTGTCAGATGAGTGGCGGCACAGATGACGCTTGTCAAATAAATGCATACCATTAATAGGGCGCTTAGAGTAATGAAGCACCCACAGTATTAATCTGGGGGTAGGAAGATATGGTTCACGACACCAGAAAGGATGTTCTACCAAGGTAGGATTCGGCGTCGTAGAACCATTATAGGTACAATTATCGATCAATCAAACCCTTCCTATGCCCTTTGGATTGAAGAAGGCTCCAGCGTTTTCAAAATGACTTGTTGAGACTTAATCTTGTCTGGGAAAATGAGGTGTGAAGCTTTCCGAGTCTCATCATCAATCAATACCTTGTCAAACTTGGCTTAAAATAAGGCCGGCTAAACTTGATCGGTTAAAAGCTGACAGAGCTTTCATGGGACTAGCCAAATTGAGTAATAAATATCTGCTACTTCCGGATCTCAAAATATCACAGACCCTTTCGTGATTGTTCACGGTTTCAATGACAATCTTACGTTGACAACCAACGAAACGCGAATAACCTCATATAATTCTCCCCATCTCCAATACACTTCAATCCTAATCGACCAGCGAAGTGGGAGGATTGTATGATCCCACTTTCTTCAACAATCATCATCTGATATAAGGTTACTCATGATTTTACACGGCGGGAGGATACAACACAAATTCTTCAACATGATTTCGATGGATATCAAGTCTTCCCGGCGTGGACGCACGTATGTGGGTGAACTCACATCAGTTCCTAAAGACTGGCTGAGGACTCTTCAATTGAAATTTGATGAAGATATTTCTTGCGGCAGCAAACAAATGAGAGGTCGTGAATTTCCCTCTAAACGCCCTGTGTGAGATCGTTCAACTGTTGGTTAGATCAATATGAGATCTGCTGCGCCAATCGTTCCGGATCAATACGTTTCTCATCTGACATCGATGAGCCTCAATTCTATTCGATAACAGTATGGTATAAGACAAAGCGGCCTCTCTTTTTTTTTAATCATTCTTTACTATTTTTTGTATATATTTTTGGGTAGGCCACACTTTGCCACCATTCAATATCATTTTCTGAGCCACCTGCAGATCCAATCGGCCAAGGCTCAAGGAGTCAGCAAATATATCATTTGTAAAATCCGATGAAAGTCTACGGTGAATGAAAGCAGAGGATGCAAGTATTTTCCATCTCACGTGCCGGGACTCGGCAGTACTCTGTACAATTCGAACTCATCCTACTGACGTGTTCATATACCCTGCAGTGTCGCTTTTCACCGTTACATCTTGAAACTTCATTCGTCGCTTGGCTCATCGCGACGCAAGTCAGCTTGTGAATATTTCTTTTGCCATCGCATGACTTTTGCTACAATTTTTATACTCAGCCTCCAAAGTGGGGTCAACAGTAGGCCGTTGGTATCATAAAGCTAAATTTACCCAAGCATGTGAGCACCAGCCAAGATCAAAGTAAGAAGGAGCATTTT